ACTAGGAGATTTTAATTACCCCTTAATTGACTGGAGCATCATGGGCCATAGGAATAATGCGTCATTACCATCTTCCTATCCTTTCTTAGATTTGCTCATTTCTCCCACTTGAAGCAAATGGTGGATGAGGCTACATACGGGCTTAAAATTTTAGACATCGTGATGGTTTCTGAGCCGTCCATGGTAAGTAACATCCGTGTGCTTCCTCCATTCAGTACATCAGGCCACAACTGTATCAGTTTTGAAGTTGCAGGCACACTCGCCAGCCATCCAAGCAAATCCAGCTAACTTAGATGTTTTTCCAAGGGTGATTTCGAGTCAATAAATGAGAAACTTACTCAGATCGACTGTATAAGCCTTAGTAATTCCTGTGAAACTATTGATGCATTTTATACGGAGTTCATTAACATATGCAAGCTTCTGATTGAGAAGTTTGTTCCAACGCTGAGACATAAAGATAAGTTTGAAAACTATCGAAAGCGCATACTTTCTCTCAAATCAAAAAATGATCATCTTCACTCTATTCACAAATCTGTTTATACTGAGTACAAAATGTACTCTAACAAGCTCAAAAAGCCCTTGTTCGGTATCAAATGTTGAAGGAAAGAGAAATAGCCTCCTGCAAGAATACGAATTTTCAATTACTACAGAAAATGTCTCAAGCTAGCTTACGGCATAACAAACCTTATTTCCGACGATGTTACTATTACCGATGACAAAACTAAAGCCGACCTGTTCGCGGCATATTTTGAGTCATTTATAGAAGTGCTTGCGACGCAAGTGAAAACTTGCCTACCAGAACAAATGATGTTCTTGACTGGGTGGATAGAAACTGCAGCGTAGTCTTCACTGCCATACGGATACTTCCAAACAGAATACCCACCTCGCTAGACGAGATTCCCTATGTTTTCCTCAAGAAAGCTGCCTTGGGCCTTACCTCTCCTCTAACGATACTTTTCAATAGAGCACTGCTCCACGGAGAAGTGCCTGACCTATGGAAAGTTGGTTTGGTACGACCAATTTCTAAGAAAGGATGCAAGAATGTAGTTTCAAATTTGTGTCATTTTATTGACCCATTTGTATGACTAGTAATTGAAAGGTTCCTCAGGGTACTTGCCTGGGGCCCTTGTGTTTATTGTCTACGTTCACCATTTGGTTGAATCACTCTCAGTCGGTGTCTTCTGCAGCATGTATGATGATGAGTCGAAAATCTATACTATAAATGATTGGGAAAAACTACAAACAGCCATAGACATCATTGAGAGATGGTCAAGCCATTGGAAACTTGAAATTTCCGTTTTGAAAACAGCAATCATGTGTATTGGGAAAAACCATCCCAGTGTCTGAGAAACCACTTATGCAAACTCAATGGTACGGGACCTAGGTACCATTTATGACGATAAACTTGGCTTTGACAGTTATGTACATGGTATTGTATCAAATGCAAATTCGAGGGCTAATTTCATTCTTAGATCAATTAGGGCGCGAGACCCTCTTCTCCTATTTTGGATTTTTTTCCTCTACTTTAGACCAGTACTCGAATACTGCTGGCCTGTTAGGTCACCGCATGAAAAGTCACTAATCGACGAGGTTTGAAGACTCCAGAGAAGTTTTACATCCTGATACTTCATTCGAAAAGATGTTAATTCGCTCTATTATGAGCAGCTTCTTCGGAAACTCGGGACTGATTCGCTAGAATTCAGGCGCACTGTATTCGACTATGGACTACTTTTTAAAATGACAACTGGAGAGATTTCCCAATGCGCTACCTGTTCGAAATCCCGCCTACCATTGGTATCTCTAGAGGTCACTCTTACCGTGTGCGGCCATATAAACCTAACACGTCGGCCTTTGAGGAATCATTCCTTGTACGAGTAGTAATCTTTGGAACAGCTTAGAGTCTGACTTTTTCAGATGGAAGCACGCTTCTTTGTTCCAGAGTCATCTTGCATTACACCTTAAAAGCTCTAATTTCGCGCCTAGCGAAAGTCACCAGCTTCCAGTAAGGTTGTTCGATAAGTTCATGCTACATTTTTATAGTTAGCTCGAATTCAACTAGCGTTATTTCCTGAATAATACTTTTTTAAAGACGAGAAGCGATCGCTCATGTTCTTGCTTTGTTTCTGGATCTTTCTCCAAGCCTCTGATTAGCTGTTACGATTTTTTCCCCAATGTACCTTGGAAATTGTTCCGGTCATTTATGAAGTTGCCGTTGCATACTTCTTCTCTCAATGGCTTCTGTTGTGGTTTACCTGTCTTTCACTCCACTACCGGCGGCCTTCTCTCCCCCTCCCCCTTTTTTTATATACAATTACACATTAATTATCACACTACAACTATTTGGAACACTTCTTGATGTTCATTGGATGAGTTCGTTGATGTTCTTTCTATCGGTACTTGAGTTTTATTTTATAAGCCACCTTTGATGTGATGTTGAAGTGATAATAAATATAAACATAAATATAAATCTCTACACCAAAGCCTGGGTCAACAACTAACCTGTAGTACTATGTTCCGATTGTGTTGACAGTGCGGACTCTGTAGCAGAGCTCATGCTCCAAGTTGTTGGAAGTGCCCCAGATCCGACGTCTGTTGCGCTGTGCTCAAATTGTCTTGATGCTGCGGACTCTGTGACAGGGCTCATGATCCTAGTTGTCGAAAGTGCCCCAGATCCGACGTCTGTTGCGCTGTGCTCAAATTGTCTTGATGCTGCGG